CATTTTCCTGGGCAGGCAGGCTGGCTTGGCCCCGAGACGAGCGCCGCCGCCTGGCAGGCCAGTCTGCTGCGTGCCCTCATCGGCCGCCCTCGCTTTCGCATATCGCACGACCAGCGAGGGCGGCGCCAACAGGCCAGCCAAACGGCCCAGCGCCAGGGCCAGGGCCAGGGCCAGGGCCAGGGCCAGGGCCAGGGCCAGGAGGCTGGGTCGCAAGCAGGCAGCCAGACGGCCCGGCACGGTTGCGCAACGTCTGCTGCCTCACTCTCGGGTCGCTCTTCTCTTCTCCTCGGACACACCCTTGACGCTTGCCTCTTGACTCTCTCTCTCTCTCTCTCCTGTGCCTGAGTCGCTCCTGTTGAACACCCACCCACGCCTCCCAGCCTCGACCTTTCCGACCACCACGCCCAGCTCTCTTACGCCCGCACCACCATCGCCTCGGTCTCCGCCATCCGCATCTGTGGGCCAACCTCCGTGTTTGCTTTTTGGGCTCCGTGGTTTCTTGTTTGCCTCTCGACCGGACCGACACCGCTGCGCACTCTGCTTTTTTCCCAACGCCTCGTCTGCATTCCACCCTTTGGCCAACGTCCTCAACCTCTCCTACCCTCATCTATCCCGGGCACTCACGACAGTGAACCGGCACGCCTCGAGCCGCCATCGCAGCGCAGCGCAGCAACCGCTGTCCGTCTGCCGCATCTAGCCCTGTTCCTGCCCGCCTTGGTTGCAGGCGTGCACCTCCCTGAACACCACTGCGCAGCTCTCGCCAAGTCTCGCCAACCTGCTGCCTCCGCATCTCGCAGCTTGTGTTCGGCGACGAGACGGATACTACTGCGGCTCTGAGCACCAGCACCAGCAGCACCAGCACCAGCACCTACCGCCGTCCGAGAAAGGCTAGGTGCAACCCTCTCTGCACGATCACCCCCTCCAGCTCCCCTCTCCGACACGGCTCCCCGTCAAGGCAGTTCGATCAACCCGATGCAGTCCCTGATAGGAGGTCAGGCGATGGCCAACGCGCCCTCCAACCTCGGGACACCCGCCGGGCAGGGTGCCGGACAGCAGGCGGGCTCTCAGATGCACCTCGCCAACGGCCACAACGGTGCTGGCGGCGCGGGATCGTTTGGCACCGTAGGCGGCTCCATGCAGAACGGCGCGGGCGGTGCGGGCAGCGCCGGCAACACGCAGAACCTCGTCTACCCGGCGCTGCACCTCCACCCGCTCAACGACACCTTCGCCCCCAAACAAATCAACCTTGCACCGCCTGGACCCAACAACCGGATCAAGATCGGAAGGCAGACCAACGCCAAGACGGTGCCCAATCCGTCCAACGGATACTTCGACAGCAAGGTGCTTTCCAGGATGCACGCGGAAGTGTGGTGCCAGGATGGAAAGGTGAGTCGGCGTACGGAGTGGCGGGGCACGAACATTGATGGGGTTCCTGAGGGCCCAGCGTCAGCGGTAAGGATCTGCCTCTGACCCTTTCGACCTTCGGCGCCGCGCTTGCGACCCGACCCTGCCAGGTCTTTATCAAGGATGTGCGCTCGTCCAACGGCACCTTCATCAACGGGGAACGGCTCTCGCCCGAGGCGCAGGAGTCGGACGTCTTTGAGCTGCACAACGAGGACATGGTCGAGTTTGGAATCGACATCGTCGGCGACGACAGCAAGACCATCATCCACCACAAGGTGGCATGCCGTGTGTACCTCGTCATCACGGCAGAGGATGCGCTGGGGCTGCGCAACGACTTTGCCAGCCTCTACCGCGGCGGCGTGCACGGCGGTCCCTTGGGCAACAACGGCGTGGGTCCGGGTGCCGAGGGTGGCCTCCGACGCGGCAAGGCCGGCTTCAGCTTCGACCACGTGCTCAGCAAGCTGCAAAACGAGCTGCAGCGGAGCAAGGAGCAGTGGAACGACCTCGGAAGCCTGACGACGACGATGCACGACATCCACGAGACGCTGGGCGGCGGCGCGGCGCCGATGGCCAACCCTCCGTACCAGCACATGGTCCCGCCGCTGCCGAGCACCGAGGCGCAGTCGAGGGAGGCCGCCGAGTCCGCCTCCAAGCACGCGCAGACGATTGCCGGCCTTCAGGCCCAGCTCACCGAGACGCAGGCGTCGCTCACTTCCCACGTCGACAAGATCAAGAGCCTCGAGGAGATGCTGTCGGAACACGCATCGATCAAGGCCGAGGTCGGCGCCATCAAGATGCAGATGGAGCAGGCGAAGCGGGAGATGGAGCTGGCCACCGAAAGAGGCAGCAAAGGAGGCGCCAGTTTCGGAGCCCGCCTCCGGCAGCTCGACGATGGCTCCGTCTCGAGAGCCGCTCCTGCCGACGACGACGACCTCGACGACGGCATGAGCGTCGCCAGCATGGACACCGTCCTGGCCGGTGACGACGCCGGGAGCGCCGCCACGCTGAGGCGAGCGCCAGACGGACATGTGGGCCCTAGAGCGCCGCCCGATCTGCCGCCTGGCGTCGAGGATCCAGACAAAGAGGCCAGGGAGCAGGCGAGTGAGGGGGACGCCGAGCAGGCGACGGCCGCCACTGCGGCAGCGCATGCTGCCGGAGAGTCAGCATCGGCGACGGCGCGGGACGACGAGCTGCGAGCTCAGAATGCAGCGCTGTCGGCACGCCTGGATCAGCTCTCGAAGCAGCTGGAGTCGGCGCTTGCACTTAGCGAGGGCCTGCAGAGCCAGCACGCACAGGTGACCGAGACCGTCAAGGTGCTCGAGAGCCGGGTGCGGACGCTGGAGAAGGAAGTGGAGCAGAAGGTCGGGCGGGTCGAGGGGACCGTTGCACAAGCGATGGAAGGTCGATGGACCGAATGGCGGCAGGAGATTGAGGAGGGATGGCGCCGCGAGCGGGAAGGATGGGAATCGGAGCGGGAAGAGCTGCGCAAGGTGGTCAAGGCGTGGGACGAAGCCAACAGACGGATGGAGGACGAGCTCAACGGCGAGTTTGAGGGTGCTGTGTCCGCATCGGCACCGCATGCGACTTCTTCAAGCGTCGACGCAGCGGAAATGCAGGACGCAGCGGCAGGACCTTCGAGCTCAGCATCCGACGGTCTGCGCAGCAAGGAAGCTACCGGCGGCAAAGTGGCCACCGTCGATGGCGCACAACCGAGAAACAACGGCAACGGCAGGCGCAGCAAGCGCAAGCGCCACGTCAACAGCGCTCTGCGGAGCCTCCTATACGGCTCTAGCGGTGCCGGCACCCTGGTCAACGGATCCGAAGTATCACCGCGCTTTGGAAGCGACGGCGAAGGCCAGGACGAGGGCGATGGCGAATCGAGCCGCAGTGCGGGCTCCCGCGCAGGCCGGTGGTCCGACGACGAGGGCTCGTCAAGCGGCCAAACGAGGAGCGTTGCCGACTCGACTTCGACGAGACCTTCCGTCTCAACCGGCATCACCTCGCCCGGGCTATCTCCGGCCAACTCGGTGGCGGGTCGCAAGTATGGCAACGACGGTGGCACCGACAGAGCCGTCGGGGCTGGTTCCGGGCGCGGCGAGCTCGGACCACATGGTGGCAGATATACCAGCAAGGACGTGAGTCACGATGGACCACATTCCCTCGAAGACATCCCGTCGGACTGCGCAACGGGACATGGACTTAGACGAACCTTGCTGACTTCCTCTCGCACACCTCCGTCACTGCTTTCCTGCGCACGGCTCGCTGGACGAATAGTTGACACACGCGGGCGGACAGACCATTTCGGCGGCAGCAGCGGGAGTTGTGGTGGTCGGCGTCGCGGCTTGGGTGTTGGCAGGAAAGAGCGGCATCGCATTCTCCATCCCAGCCTCCGCCAAAGTCTAGAAGGGCACGTCGAAACCTCCGACTTGGCGCTGCGCTTAGCCCAGGCTCGCCAGCGCGAGCCTCGCTCTTGCGCTGCCCAGCTGCGCGCGGCTGCATCGCGCAGGCAACCACAGCTCCGGCAGCAGCCGGATACAAGGAAGGCCGCCGCTTCCAGCGCAAAAGCATTCTGTTCGGCCGCAGGATTCCTGTCCGAGAAGGACTGAGTATCCCCCCGGCATCGTTCAAGAGACGACCGTCTCCACTGGCACCCCTTGGACATGCACGCAAACCCGCACGCATAGCTCGTCTCTGTCTGCCGACGCGCCTTGCGTGCCTTCCGCTCCCTTCCGTCTTGGTCGACATCGGGTGCAGCACCGTTTCAGAACATCGTCGGCCGGCCCTGGAAGTGGGCCTCCCCTCTGCACGACTCGTCATGCTCCGCACCGGGAGTCGACCACGCTGTGATATCACATTGATTCCGTTCATTACTGCTCCTCCCACTCCCAGGCTCCCTCGCCATCCCTCTTTCCTCCTCTCCTCTGTCGCCCCCTTCTTGAACCCTCTGTTGCACTTCCCCCGCTCGGCAATCTGCGCCCTGATGACATGACGACAACTGTGTTGCTGCTGCCAGCCTCCTCGACCTCGAAGAGGTCATTATCCTCATTCCCTTCGGGATGGCAGTGCAGAAATCGCAGAGATTAAATGGCCTCGAAATTCTGCCGAGGCGATCGCCGTATCGCCCGAGAAGCATGGCCGCTGCACGGACCTCGGTGAAAGGTGAGGCTGGTCGATGCACCCTCTTCCCGCGCCCTGCTCTGCCCCTCTGCGCATCATTCTTGCCACCCTTTCACATCCAACGACAGACACGACCACACCCACCGCACCCGCTCCCTTCTGCTGTGGTTGCTCCATATTTGCCCTCCTCATTGACGGTTTTGCCTCTTCGTCTGTCCACCGCTCGGATCGGTCCGGTACGATCCAGGGACGCTTTCGGTTCTATCCTGACAACCCTGCCTTCAGCCTTGGTGATGAGCTCAGGCGCGATGGTCCAGGGTCGCAGGCGGGCTAGCCTCCTGTCTGCGATTGTCGCGCTTTGCTGCCTTCTCTCTCTCCTTGGGAAGGCTCCCACGAGCCTGGCGGTGAAGCCCGGCGACTTTAAGAAGTGCAAAGACTCGTCATTCTGTCGCAGATTCCGGCGCCAGTCTAGCTACGTCGAGCAATGGCAAAAGGATCACGGCAAGCCTTTCACCTCTCCCTATGCGCTCCCGCCGGCCACGGAGAGGGCGCCCTCGTTCGACCAGTCCAACGCAAGGCTCTCTACGCCGCTGCGCTCCGCCCTCTATCCCGACATCGACTTTCAGCTCTGGTTCACCCTGTTTCGCGACGGCACCGCTCGAATGCAAATGGACCAGGTGGGCCAACGCTTTGGTGACTGGAAACGCTATGACCAGGCCCATCAGTGGGGCGTCGACCAGATGCCGGAGCTCGCCAACGGTCCCGGCGAGACCCAAGTCGAGGTCGATGCCGCGGCGGGCGTCACCACGGTCCACTACGGACCCGATCTCAGCCGAGCCATTCGCATCCAGCATCGCCCCGTCAAGATCGAGGTGCTGCGCGACGGCGTCGTTCAGGTCGTCCTCAATGAGCGCGGACTGCTCCACATGGAACACTTCCGCAAGAAGCCTCAGACATTCCCTACGGTCAAGACTGAGGGCAGCGCCGACGAGCCCAAGCAAGTCGTTTTCGAGGCAAGGAAACGGTCGATCCTCTCTTCACCTCAAGCATCTGAACTTGACGAACAGCTGGTGTCCCAGTGGGCCGGCTTTGAAGAAGAGGATTCGGGCGAATGGGAGGAGACGTGGGCCGGGCGGCGGGACTCGAAGCCCAAGGGACCTGAGGGTCTGTCCCTCGACTTTACGTTCCCGGGCTACCCGCACCTGTTTGGTCTTCCGGAGCACGCATCCCCGCTCTCGTTGAGATCTACGCGGAGCCCGGTAGGCGAAGCCGCGTCCGACGAAGAGGCAGGTCGCTTCCAGGACCCGTACCGGCTCATGAACACCGACGTCTTCGAGTACGACTACGACTCTCCGATGAGCCTGTACGGCAGCGTGCCGGTGCTGCATGCCCAGGGCAAGGACAGCGCCATCAGCATCTTCTGGCTGAGCGCATCGGAGACCTGGATCGACATCCACAAAACCCGGCCATCGCCCTCGACGACCGACTCGCACGCCCACTTCTTCTCGGAATCGGGCATCCTCGACCTCTTCCTCTTCACGTCTGCCGACGCCCAGACAAACATGGCCCACTTCACCAAGCTGGTCGGCCGCACTGCGCTCCCGCAGTACTTTGCCATCGGCTACCACCAGTGCAGGTGGAACTACCTGACCGACAGCGATGTCAAGGATGTCAGCCAGCGTTTCGACGAGGAAGATGTAGGTTCCCCCATGCGAAGCGGTCAGGCTGGCTAGGCGCCGGGTTCGTGCTGACGGTCAGCGAATCCCTTCACCTCTGCTCAGATTCCCATGGACGTCATGTGGCTCGACATCGAATACAGCAAGGAACACATGTACGGAGTGTGGGACGAAAAGGCGTTCAAGGACCCGGAGGGCATGGTCAAGGCCCTCGATGATCGAGGTCGAAAGGTGAGGCACCGTTTGGGCGCGTATTGCAGTCAGAAGGCCGAGGGCGCGGTCGGCTGACACCTGACGCCAATGCCCTGCCCGCGCACACACCACGGCACTGCAGCTCGTCGTCATCATCGACCCTCACCTCAAGAGGACTCGCGACTACTGGCTGTACGCCGAGGCGCAGGACAAGAAGCTCCTGGTTAAGGACTCGACCGGCTCTGGAGAGTATGAGGGCTGGTGCTGGAGCGGCAGTGCGAGCTGGCTCGACATGTTTGAGCCTGCCAGCTGGCAGTGGTGGGCCGACCAGTTCTCGCTCGCCGGCAGCAAGCTGACGGGCAAGATTCGCGCCAATGCCCGCAACGTCTTTGTATGGAACGACATGAACGAGCCGGCCATCTTCAACGGCCCCGAGATCACGTCGCCCAAGGACGTGATCCACGCGGGAGGGTGGGAGCACCGCGACCTCCACAACATCAACGGCGTCCTGTTCCACAACCAGACCGCGCGGGGCCTCCGCGATAGGGAGCTCAATGTACCCGCCTCGATGGGCGGCGGTAAGCGACGTCGGCCATTTGTGCTGTCGCGGGCATGGTGGGTCGGAACGCAGAAGTACGGTGCCATCTGGACCGGAGACAACCTCGGCACCTGGGAGCACCTGGCGGTCAGCGTCCCCATGATCCTGGCCAACAACATCGGAGGCATGAGCTTCTGCGGTGCCGACGTGGGTGGTTTCTTTGGCAACCCCTCCCCGGACATGCTGGTTCGCTGGTACCAGGCCGGCATCTTCGAACCCTTCTTCCGCGCGCACGCGCACATCGACACCAAGCGCCGCGAGCCGTATCTCCTCGACGAGCCCTACCGAAGCGCGGTCCGGGAGCTCATCAAGACCCGGTACCGGATGCTGCCGGTCTGGTACACGGCGTTCAAGGACTCGGCCGTCTCCGGACTGCCGGTGCTGCGGCCGCAGTATCTCATGTTCCCTCACGACGTCGAGGGCTTCGGCATCGATGACCAGTACTACATCGGCGACACGGGCCTGCTGGTGAAGCCCGCGGTCAAGCAAGGCGTCGAGTCGGTGGACGTCTATCTCGCCGAGGACAAGCCGTACTACAACTACTTCACCCACGACGTCTACCACGGCTCGACGGGCGGCAAGAGGGTCACGGTACCGGCCCCGTTGACGGCACAGCTGCCGGTGCTTCACCGCGGCGGCTCTATCCTGCCGATTCGGGAGCGGGCGCGCCGTGCTGCCGAGCTCGCCCGACGGGATCCCTTCACGCTCATCGTCGCGCTCGACAAGGTCGACTCCTCGCCGAGCCACGGCGGTCGTCGTGTGAGGGCGCAGGGCTCGCTCTACCTGGACGACGGCCAGACGTACGACTACGAGCAGGGCGATTTCGTCTGGCGGCGGTTCCGCTGGTCCTCGGATCCGGCCGCGGGCAGTCACGCCCTCGAGAGTGTGGACGAGACGCAGCTCAAGGCCCAGTCGGCCGACGTGGTCCTCGCCGACTCCAAGCAGGTCGCTCCGTATTCCACCACCAACCAATTCGCCGAGTCCATCCGCGACGTCAGGGTCGAGAGGATTGTCGTGCTCGGACTGGAGAAGGAGCCCAAAACGATCCGGATCCGCGGCGGCCGCAACGACGGACACGAGGTCGAGTGGACCTGGAAGGCCGGCGTGGCCGCATCGGGCAAGGGCGGAAGTAGCTTCGGTTTCGGTACCGGGTCCAGCGCGGCCAGCGAGCTGGTCATCAAGGACCCCTCCGTGCTGATCCGAGACAACTGGACCATCGAGTTCGAGTAGATGGCAGAGACAGAAGGGTCGGTCGTACGGAACACCGACATTTGGTCACTTCCGGGCCGGCGGTATGCAGGCAGCTCGAACGCGCTGCAGATTCGCAAAGATCGCCCCCCAGTGGAGAATGACACACTCCTCCCCAAGTTGAAGGTGCAGCATTGGGCCCCAGACGCCGATGCTTGTGCGGGTAGCGATGCTAGCGTCAGCGTCGCCACTAATGCTGTGCGAATTGCGAATGCATGTATGTACAGGGGATGTTCAGTCGTCTTCGGACGCGGAGCCGGAGAATAGGGCGATGGGCGAAGGTGACCGAGAGTCCGAGGCAAAGGGAGAGGCTGAGTCCTCCGCTTTGACGACCGCACATTGTGGAAGCGCGTCCTGCCGCGGACGTTGGAGCGACTTTGCCGCTCGTCCCATCGCGGGCATCGGCCGGCTGCGAGAACCGAAAGCGGCCGGCTGCGATTCGGTACGCCGGAACGCTGACGCCGTCAGCAGCGGCGATGACGATGACGACGTCGTCAAAGGCGCGGCCAGCGTCTGCCTCAACGACCGCGCGAAATTTGCTGGTCGACTGTGTTGGCGGACTAGGTTGGGCTTGGTCTTGCTGGGTGTGGCTTGCACTAGCGTCTGCCGTCTGCGTTCCCCGGTGATGTCGCCCCTCCTCTCGTCAACGCCAATCGAACGCGTCGGTGGAAGCGAAAGATCGGCTGAATTCGGCCTCCTGACCGCTTCGCTCTTCCGCTTGCTCGTTGCCCCCGTGATGAATGCTCGCACCGGCTCCAACGCCGCCGCCGACTTCGGATCTGAAGGTGCCTGCGCTGCTGAGGTGCGAGCGTCGCCACCGAAATGTGCAGCCAACACCAGGGGGCCGGCGCTGACGCTGCGGGCGAAACGGCGATCCATGTCGACTTCGCGACCCCTTCCCAAAAGGCTCTGCGAGTCGGCCGTTGGGCCGGCTCGAGATCGGCGTCCGATGGCTTGCTCCTGCTCGAGGGCGTCTTGCAGACGGGGGCGCGATGTCGACGCGCCCGGCCGCGAGCGGCTGGCCTTGCTCTTCGGCTCAGACCCTCTCGCTCCGACTTGAGCGTGCGTTGCTGGCTGCTGCGCTCGCTCCGACCGAGGCAACGGGGCGCGGCGCTTCTGCGGCGTCGGGTTCGAGACGCTTGGAATGAAGCATTTGCTTTTCAACAGGGTGCACTGGCGAGGCAGGGCGGCTAGGAAGCACGGTTCGACGATCCTCCTGCAGAGCCACTGCACGTCGTCGAGCTCATCGTTGGGATCCCTCTGCCTTGCAGACGTTCCGAAAGCCTGATCGAAGCGGTTGCTTGTCGGCTGCGTCGACACGCCGGCGACCGCGTCCTCCAGATCGCCGAGGAAGCTTCCCAGGTCGGAGTGCAGACTGGCTGTGATCTGGTCTAGGCAAAGCACATCGATGAGGGCCTCGAGACGCCGATTCAGATGCTCGGGATCGACGACAGCCGCACCCACGACGTTCAAGACATCGACCGTTTCGGCCTGAGCTGGATCGCCACGTCGATTCCGCTTGTCGCCCGATTTCTTCTGCCAGAGAAAGTAGTCGTCGTGCAGATCCTCATCCCGACTGGCGTCCCACCGCTTGGGCTTGTCCAATTTCCGGCTCCTTTTCTTCGGGCGCAGCTCCTTGTCACTTCTGGTGCCCTGAGGGGTGTTGGGATCGGACGATCCGGCTTCGGGTACTGCCGATTCGTCCCGAAACGTTCTCATCTTGATGAGTCGTCTTCGGGAAGGCTCAATGCAGGAACTGTGCTGCGTCGTGAGACGCAGCAATAGGAGGACGAGGAGGACTTGAAGCTGTAGCCTGCATCCCGGGCGACGTTGAAGCACTGTCAGCAGCGTGATCTCTGATATGCCGCGTCGTGCCTCTTCGTCGATGGGGAGCTGACTTACTCGCGGCTCTCGATGGCCCTCAGCCAGCGCGAGAGGATCGCTTTGAAGCCAGAGTTGTCGGGATTGTCAGACATGCCTGTTTGCCCACCCGCTTCGCTGACTTCTGCGACGTCACTTCCGGGCCGCATCAGACGAGCTTCGCTCTGTCGGCGCAGTGCTGCAGTGACCGCTGCTGCCGGACCCCCCATCAGAGCAGATTTGATGCTGCGCGCTTCATTGTGGTCGGGGTATAGGGTTTCAACGCCAGCTTCGAGGGTGTCATTGGGGCCGACGCATGTGGTTTCCAGTGCGCTGGCAGCTGTGCTGGCAAAGCGACGCTGAACAGTGGAGCGAGCGCGCAGCATCGTAGCGAGGCGCACGACGAGCTGCGAAATGTCCTGTTGATGGATGGCTTCAATCCTCTCGACGTAGCCTACGAAGTCGCCGAGGGACGTGTGGAGCTCTCCTAGCCATAGCGCATCGTTGTAGACCATCCACAGGTCATCGGTCGAAGCCGAAGCCTCAGCTTCCGGTACCGGCCAGATGGAAGTCGGAGGCCGCTCGAGCTGCAGCGGCAAGGTCTCTGAGACGATGCGAGGGTCTTGCCAGATTGCGGTAGATGCTTCCTGGGGGTGGGAGGGTCCTGCCGGGCCAGGAAGCGCAATTGGATCCTTGAGCAGGAGAGTACAGTCGGCATTCTGGAGGTAGCTCATGTTGGAGTGCTCCAGCGGACTGGCGATGCTGTGTGCATCTGTCGTCCGTGTAAACGTGGCTAGGGATTGTCAGCTACGGTTCCATGATGGCGGTCGATGGTCGCGAGGAGGCTTGCCAAGGAGCGTGCAGCGATCGAATGTGCAGGTACTTTGTCTGGCGCGCGTTGGCCTCGTCAAAGGGTCGGCAGGATTCGAAGGGCGGTGGTCAAGGCGGGTGGTAGGCGATGGGGCCGGTGGTGGTGTCTATCGACGAGCCTAACCGCCACCGTCTGTTGGATGGGGGTCAAAGCTCCGCGTCGCTCCAGCCAGAACCTCCACCTTGATTGTGTCGCCCGATGCTCCGTGATCGGGGCGACACGCTTTGGCGTGGCTCGGCCTGCAGGCCAGGCCAGGCCGGGCTGCCACGCTTAGAGGGCTGCGTGGCACGGCCCCCTTTAGGCTTCGGTGCCGAACCACCTCGACTGGGAAGAAGAAATTTGGCGGGGGCGGCGCCGGCGGGCGGCAAGCCAACCATCAACTGCGCCCTCCACCCCTCGTCTTGCCTCGTTCCCCAAACCGCTCATCGCCTTCCGCTCACCGCTCACTCCAGCGCCTTTGCTTGCTCCACGGTCCTCCTAGAAGCACTCGCAACCTCGCAGGTCACGCACCTTGCCGCTCGCCATGGATCCCACCAACATCTTTGATACCCAGTTCGTCGTCGACAAGATCGACCCCGATGGCAAGAAGTTTGACCGAGGTACGTCGCTCCATCGCCCTGCTGCACCCACTCGGCTTGCTCGAGTCGCTCGCCTTGCCCTTCTCTGACGACGTCCCTCTGTGTCGCTCTGCTTGCTGCCCGCCGTGCACCCGCTCTACGCTTGCTCGGTCGCCGTCCTCACAGTTTCTCGCATCATCGCGACGTCGCCGTCGCTCGACATGAACCTCTCGATCGACATTGCGACCGACATCTGGCCCGTTTCCGAGGGGCAACAGCTCACGTTCCAGCTCGCATCAACGCTCAGAAAAGACTCGGCCATCAAGTCGACTGGACAGGAAGGCGAGGGCAACCAAGACGCCTCGGCCGTGGCCGCGGAACGCGATGCCTGGAGGCTCGACATGCCTGGCAACGGTGGAATCGCCGACGACTTTGACTATGTCATGTACGGCAAGGTGGGTCCTCGCCTTGACAATGCCTGAGCAACGTGGTCTTCCCTCCTTGCCGCACGCCCTAGGTTGCGCCGCTGACATCCAAGCGCCGCTGTCGACCCCAATCGCCTCCACCATCTCTCTCCAACCCAGATCTACCGATACGACGAAAAGGCCAGCGACGAGGTCACTGTGTACGGCTCGTTTGGAGGGCTAATGATGGCCCTCACCGGGTCCTATCGCCATCTGAGCGGTGTGACGGTAGGCGCCAACGTCTACCTCCTCATGCGCTGAGCGCTCGCCTATGCTCGGGAGGCCGAAGTTGGATCTCTGCCAGCCAATGCGGCTTCCTCAGTCTTTTCCCCCCGTCCATCTCCATTGGCCTGCCTACCGTATCATCCGCGCCACGAGCAACCCCTGTACACTAGTCGATTCTGTCAACAAAACCCGCTCTCACTACTCTGAACCTCGAAGCCAAGAAAAGTAGGTTCACTGCCAGCCTATGCCCCTCCGGGAGGTTAGCCCAGCGAACCTGGCCAAAGCGGTGTGCTCAAGTCTGATCGGCTCGGCGCACCCAGCCATTTGGTAGGTTGAGAACAAGGAGCTCTCAGGCTAAAGCCGGTCGGGCTCTGCACAAAAGAGTGTGCTGCTGCGGCGGTCTGACGTCTGGCCACTTGACCCGATGTCGGATCTTCTTGCCAGCTCAAGGGACGGTGAACGGAGTGGTGTGGCGTACACGTACGTGTTGTGCAGCAGGGAGTTGAGTGAGCCGCAGGACGGTACATACAGTACTGTAGCATTCGCAAGAGCGGTGGGCCATCACGAAAGGATGTGTGGCAGCGGGCGCGTGAGGTCCTCTGATCTGCCGGGCCTCTTGGATGTGGAGCTGGCGCGGCTGCCTGCCTACCTGTGCGCTCAGCCACGACGCCGACGATGGCGTGCTTCGTCGCGCTCGGCAACACGGCCACCAGCGACCCGGGCAAGCCCTCGCCCTGGCGCCACAGCTACTCTTACCGGCACCTCGCCCTCGACCGCTTTCCAAGCAGCCCCCACACCAAGGCGTGCGACAGAATGACAGGCAGCATCACGACACCCGGAGCCTACGTCTCGCCCTTGGCCTGGCCTGCCAGCGCGCCATGGCACCATCAAAGGTGATGACAAGCAAGCACCCCGCCCCCCCCCCCCTCCNCNCCCNCCNCGCNCGCGCGCGCGACGTACGTACGTACGTACGTACGTACCGTACCGTACCGTACCGTACCCGGTACCCGTAC